TACAACAAAGCTCAATAATGATGTGGGGTGGGTCACAAATCAAATATTATACTCCAGGGGGTGGGCAAAAGAGAAATTTTGCATCTTGTGCAAACCCCCCCTCCCCTCCCCATATAAATTATGACCAGATGATCATAACATGGCAAACATTGTTACTTCAATCAGTATTATTATATGAGTATCCTGAAGTAACGTACTATAAGGATGGTGACTGTTGCATTGGTCAATGAAGCTAGGATCCTGGACCTTTACATCTGATAAAAGTTGATTGTTATTTTTTATGTATAAAATACAAATATAAGTCCAYCATTTTTCAGATATATTGGTTTGATTGGGGATCAATAGGTCAATCCATTACCTCCCCTATATCTATGCCATAAATGACACCAAAACACTGAATGAGTATCAAAAGTATCTATTAAGCTTTCTTCTCTTGTGATCATGACCCAAGCACATTGAATTATGACTCCACAAAAAAAAAATATATGTTAAAAGCAAGAATACAAAAAGGTTACAGACCAAGCTTCAGTGATGTTACAATATAGAACTTACAACAACAAAGTTAAGTGCATTAAACCATGACAAGATAACAATGAAATGTGTGGMTTCAWGCWAAATTATTTGAGGAATTCCATCTCAGTCCCRTGCTCATTACAAGCCAATGCAGATCAACATTATAACATGGTTACTGCARAATCTTTGACATAGTCTTTACAGTCACTTGAAATCCACTCCAACCAGAACATTTCTGCTTATTGTCAAACATTTTTATACTAGTATAGAAATTATAGAAAGAGCTGTTTTGTTTTATATTTTATAGAAATTGTTTATTCATTTTATTGTCAAGTAATATTAGTTTGATCTTTTTATACAATGCTGCATAGGAACAACAAAATTACAGAATTACTTATTTTTAAGAAATGATGCATGTTTTGTTGATTAAAGACAGCCACTTCTCTAATGACATATCAACCTGATAGCTGTCTTTAAAGTGGAGAARTACATAAACCTCAACTCAGATGTACATAAACCTCAACTTTTGCATTTCACATTTAGCATCAGTGTTCCTTGTTTTTCTAGTCTACTTTTTATTCCAAGACATGTTYCTAGTMCTTGGACAAAGTGAAAAACCTGAATCATTGACTTAAAATGTGAATAGCAACAAAGTTGCACAACAAMTCAAGAGGTTTTGTATCTCACATTCTTGGTCTTTACACCAATACAAAACCCTTCTAGATAAAAGTTTCAACATARAGTTAATAAAGACTGTGAATTAATGGTAATTGAGTTTTTTTTAAGTTTGAGTTTGAGAGTTTTAATTGGTGGCACTCTCTACTTGTTCATATTGTCATCATGATATACAATTTGTGTAACATAAAGTATTAAATTACAGTTCATTCATTATATTGCAGATAATGAGTTGAATAGTTTTATGCACACAATGTAACAATGAAGATAGTGATCTTTATGCAAGACAGCTGGTGCAAAGCTTTTTGACAGCATCCCTACAAATAAGAAATATCTATTAAAACTTGAATGGTACTGTGTGCCATACATGTAATCACTACTTGTAAATATGTTCATGATCATCAATCAATGTACATTCAAATATGCTTCAATTTTTCCTTATTAAAAGGTCTTAAACTCGTATAGTCCCAAATAAGTTATTTCTTTTTTAATAATACAAAATACAAACATGCACTTGCATTGTTSATGCACTTGCATCAGATCCAGACATTTATACATAGGCAACTCTCCCACAGGACATGGCAGAATTTTAATTTTATTAACAGTTTTAGAAAAAAAAGTTTTCAAGGATATTTCTGCTATTTTTCATTTGTAAGTTTCAGGTGTTTGAGAAAATTTTTAAATTCATTCACTTTTCAAGGCGTACTAAGTACCTTAAATATTATATATACAATTAAGAGTTATTATATGGGGACAATAGAATGATGGAATGAGTAAACAAATAAAAGAAAACTAAGGACCATTGCTATGAAAATGTCTTACCTTGCAAATGGAATGTAAGAAAGGCAGTACCTATGACATATKAACAATTAGTTATAATTGCAAATAAGTACCTACTAGAATTAGGAAACTGAAAAAAATTAGAACATTGGAAATGTCTTTTTKGGTGGATAGCATTTTCAAGATCAGTGGTATATCATGACTAGTTCAGCAAAACCATTTTTAAGGCTAATCAAAAATGATGTTRAAAAAGATACTCAAAAACTTGGAGAGCCTCTAGCTCCCAAACCTCACTTTATTCCCAGCCACACKATTCCTGAAACATCCCTTGCTTTTGGCAGAAAAAAAGGATWACTTACCATGTCATTGCAAAATACTGCAAGATACAAAACACAAGAGCAAGTCCCTTGTTTGACCACTAAAACAAACACAGTAATACAAATTTTTGAATCAGAATTTTTGATGCACTCTCTCATCTTGCCCTGTACACCCCCCATTACAGCACACACAAGACACACAACAACAGATACTTTGCAGCTCCACAAGACCGAYCCATCTTGCACCTCACCCATAGACCAGAACACAAAGCAGTTTGCACGCAGTTTGCTTTTGACAAAGGTAATAAAAGCCAAATTACTGATCAAAAGYCTGCCATTGATTTCAGAACTTCCTTGCAGACAGGACAATGATGAGAGTTGACAACATAAKAGGAAGACAAAGAATTAAGACCCTTTTGATAGAGTGTCTGCTTCTCAGAGATATAATAAGTCAAWAGCAATCAATCAATTAAAATACAGCTTTGCCCAGATAGTGAGAATTTACTTACCCACAATGCTGCACACAGAGTGAGTACYAGACAAGTCTAATTAGAGACAAACACACAAAYTTGTTAAAGCTTATTCTCATTAATTATTCATTAGGTAGCCAGCCAATGTGTGATCACAATAGGCCCTTTGCAGCTGGGGGTCACGTGACCACACCTACCTTAAATTAATCAGCTATCAAAAAATGATGTTCAGAAATGGAAAGAGGGGATCAAAATAGTTAAGAAGACAAAGTTTCAAGTCTCAACACTAAATATTTCAAAACTGATATTAAATATAAAATCATTATTTTTCTAAAGAAACATATGTGTTGTAGTTCAGGTTCAATATATTTTTGAACCAGTTTAATCTAATTTGTTCCAGTACAAGACTTCTTGTACTGTCTTTTTTTTTTTTTTTGCTTTGGCATTCTTAAAATAACTAAAATAACTATATCGCATCTCATTCTCTCCCATTTTCTATCTATCATCTTATTTTCTACCTTCTACTATTTCCTGCTTTATCTTACCCTATAAAATATTGATATTTTCTATATTTTTAATTTATGAATAACACTTACCTTCATCAGGGTTTGAACCACTGAAACTCTTGCTTCATGGTTCACAGTACTACCAATTATACCATCAAGGATTTTGTTGGTAGTAATGTTTGCAAATTGTTTTTATCTTAATTGTAATTTATTAATGAAGAACATTTTTATATAATGATGGCTCAACCCTATTCCCAACCCTAAASCTAACCCTAACCCTAACCCAAAACCTAASCCTCAAAATAAACTGAACCAGTTCAGAAGAAATTGAACTGGTCCAAATCATATTGAACCTGAACTACAACATATGCAAAAACAGAAATGGAGAGCAAGTTCTATTTTCCCATATGTTTCTTTAGAAAAATCAATATTTTACATTTGCTGTCATTTTTGAAGTGTTTAGAGTTGAGACTTGAGATTTTGCCTTTTTACCAACATAAACCTGCTCTTTTCATTTCTGAACATCATTTTTTGATAACAAATTTATGAATGAAGGTGGATGAAGATGCAATAAAGCCAATCTATTTCTATTATCTTAATTCCTTCCCCTTTCCCCTCCCAAACAATTTATGAATTTGAACAGTTGTTTAGAGTCCACAGTGTAGCTAATTGTATGGACTTGAAATGCCAATCTAGTCTTCATTGTTGGACACAAAGTGCTACTTGCATGAAAACACCCTAATTTCAAAACTTTGAGGAATATTTGATGAAAACACAAATTATTTGTTAATATGTTGTGACAGTAGCTGTTCCAAAAACCTACAGTCACCCGAGAAGGCAGGGTGACTATGAATTTTTGAGGAACATCATGTCCGTTAAATTAAAATGGAGAGTTTTCAACCAATATACATGGGGATGTATATGAAATACCTAATATATATCACAATACGTACCAGCATTATTATTGTTGCAATAAGCCTTTTTTCTTTAAACATATTCTTCAACTGTTTACAGGGACCCATCAAAAAACAAGTACTGCAATAAAAACAATGCAAGCTTAATAAAATCTAAAAAATTCAATGAAACCAAAATACAGCTGTAATTAGGATAAGAACCACATTATACATGAAGCATAATTTAATTAACTTTTGATTGATGTATTCATCCAACTGTGACAGCAATATGTTTAGACAAAGGTTCTTAAAAAACAGAAAGCGAAAATACCTTGCTAATGCAACAACATTTCCAATTGAATAAAAAACAGCAAAAAGCCTAACATCTTTCCACAGAAAAATGACTCCCTAGACAAATAAACACAAAATTACTTTAATGAATAGATACATACATGCATAATCAATTATTTTCTTCTCTGTTTTTCTAGCTTACATCAGGGAATCCAATTTTACAAGAGATATATTATATTTTTTTCATTCAGCATTACATTGTTTGGTTGCTAAATGCATCTTGGCAATATGATCAACATTTTCATATGTACCAGGATTGGATAAAGATGAAAGTTTCTTTTTGTATTTAAGGTATGAAAATTTCTTGGACATTGATAACATTGCTAAGACACATTTCAAGACATGGAGAGTGAGTGCATCAAAGCCATCACCCTGTTGTTGTATTATAATAAATATTTACTTCATAATATACTCTCACTTACCAATACAGAACAGAAAACACCCACAATAAAGCAAATTATAAAGCCTTTTATTCTTGTTGACCAGCTTAGTGTTGTTGCATCATTTATCTAGAAATAAATTAAGTACAAAATGTATTCCATCATCATATTTGCATTTCATGTATAGAATCAGATGGTAACATGGAGCAAACAATATCTGCCTCGTGATATATATGGTCATTTGGCAGGAAATTTGAATTTTTTAATTTGTTGTAACTTTTTACCGTTTTATCCGATTTACATGGAATTTTTGGGATTAACATTAGTTTGTTATGGTAATGTTAGCAATAGTACACTGAAGACTAATTCTAACGTTTTTAGGGATGTTCTAAAAATAGCTGGTGCTAGTGACGTCATAACATTCAAAAACGTTAAAAATTCCTTCACAATTTGTAGAAAATTCAAATATTTTTGTTCTATTCTACATCTACTTAAGTTTTGCATCGTTTTAAACTTGACTGACTAAATTTTGAGATCTTGCAACTGAAGTTACACCAAACTGTCGAGCATGGCTCTACAGAAGGGTGCAGAGACAAAATCTTAGAATCTTCCGGGAGGAAAGTCCATAGCAACGGACCATCGTGAAAAATCCTGTTATTTGATTGATTATGGCATTGTTATTTTTTATGGAGAAAATATAATTCCATTGCTAGTTTGTCACAGCAACCATCTTGGAGGTACCTAAATTAAAGGATTTCTAAACAGTATATATTACCTCCAACATGGCCGAGTACGTTCTTTGTTGTTTGAATCTCTTGGGAATGATTGAAAACCAGCAATTGGAGAATATTTGCATACTCAGAAATAAGCTTAAATATTACAAACTTGGATTTACCTGCTTTTTACATAAATACCAATTGTAAACCTTACTCAATCTTAKCTTCATTTCAAGATTAAATTAAGACTTAACTAAAGCTTAAGTTTTATACCTAAGTTTATGCATTTATAAGTTATTAAGTGAAGAACTTAAGGTTAATAGCTAGCTAAGATTATCCTTTCATGTTGTTCGGTAATAATTTTGTTTCAACACTTTGACGCCATTATTCAAGAACTTTTTTCTTAATTAATGAGACAAGACAAAATTTTCATTACATTTTACCTCTGTTATTAAAGAATCATCCTGCTGTTCACCTGTAATAGCAGACTTTAACTTTTGGATAGTGGAAGGCGCCATTTTGGCACACGATTACATCTCCCGGCATTCCCTGCGCGCCCCGCTTCACTATTCTTCCGCAGGTAGRCCAAGCTCTAAGAAGCCCYAGAGSGGGGGGGGATACTCCCATATATTTGCTATACGGGGACGTGCCGCTGGCCAGGGTATGGTTTTTGGTCTTGCTGTCTTAAACAGGGTATACATTTCACCCGAAATTGTCTTAAACAGGCTCTACAATTTAGATAAAAGACCGATATAATTTTTTGTGTGTCATTGGACAGGGTAATATTTTAGTAAAAAGCACCGTACAAATAGTAGAAATACCGTTTCACTGTCCCAGGATTAACGTGTTATAAAAAACTTCTTATTGTCTTATTGATGGATGTCAGTATAATTGCAGTTTTTAGCTTACGCACCCTACGTAAAGTGATAAAAAAGAAATAATAAACTATCTGGAACTATGCACGTACGAGCCAAATATCGTCGTCYTATTACATATTACTCTGGTTCCAGAGGCTTGTCTTACTATGTTCTCGAGCCCCGAAGCAGAGAGACGTTTCCGTGAATAGGAGTAATTACATATCTATAGCTGTATCATTTTTCATTTTTTCCTATATTTGTCGTTSGTTCGAGATGCAGCATAGAGATCAGTTATTCTCTGCTTATTGAATAATTTGATTTTTTTAAAGTTCATATTATAACTGAACAACTATATTTATTTATTTCAGTTAAATGCATTTGAAAATTGAAAATGCTAATGAAGTGACGTCAAGGGAGGCTTCATCATGTTCATCAAATATACCGAACTTTGAAAGAGRCGCTCAAAATTGRTTTCATGAACTGGGAATATGATTATTGCCTACATTGCTTACGATAAACTTCATGCCATTTAACCATTTTTAAGCTTCTCCTTCAAGGTTCTTATATTTGATGAAGCCTCCCTTGACGTCACATCATTAGCATTTTCAATTTTCACTAATGCCTTTACATGTAAAAAATTCAAAAAACTTTTTCTTCTTCAAAACAATGATTAGCATCATATTTGCCTTTTGTTAAAAATGATTTCTAAAATGGTTCATATGCACTACCATCCCGAAAATTTAAAAAATTTCTTTCCCACTAGTACGTATGTGCTTATATAATGCGTAAAGGACTCTAGGCGCCTGAATTAATTATTATTATTATTATTTAGTAAATCAAGAGATATAGCTCTCCGGCCATCCCTTCTTAAGAATATAAGTCAAAGTGTTCTTTGTTATCAACCCCATGATTTCCTGGGTTTCAGTCTTAGTGTTACTTAGTCGGGTTGTCTTTCGTCCTGAATTAAATGTTAGTAAGAAAGTCAGTTAAATATACGATTTTCATTAGTCAGTTAACTACTATTTTTTGGCCAAAAAGTCAGTTAACTACTAATTTTTAAGTCAAAAGTCAGTTAACTATTAGCCCCATTGACACCCTAAGACCCTACTCGAACATCCCGGCCCATTGCTTGGGTTGTCTGTCTATGTGAAGGTCAAAAAGATCTGGGTACGAGTTAATGACTTGTGCCAACATCCGGGAGCTTTCCACATTGGAGAAACATGGCAGCCTTGGTAAGGGATTGTCGGTATTTGCGAAAAATCCAATTTTTGGTAAGTATTTTTTATGTAATCAATAGAAATAAGGTGACATAGATAAAGCTATCTATTTTTTTGCTTTTTTACTGCCATTTTTGAAATGTTTCCACTTCTGTAGAGCCATGCTCGACAGTTTGGTGTAACTTCAGTTGCAAGATCTCAACTAATCAAGGTTCGTGTGAGCTAAATCTATAAAATATATTTAATAATTAAGTTGCTAGTTGCTACAGATGTGTCCATAAAAAGATGAAATTTTGTACCAGTCTTAGTCTGTGCCAGGGGAAAAGCTACAAGAGATTTCCGTGAGATGCATTCAACGTCTTTAGCGATTGATCAGCAGTTTGATAGAAAATTTCATTGCACATTTATGCAATTATAATCAAAGCTTACATAAATCTGAACTTGCATTACACAATAGCCATATGTCTAATAATACCAGCTGTGTGTAATACACAGCTAAGGGTTTTGCCTTACCAAGGCTAATTTGGTTTTGACAAGCTCTATTTGAAGTGCACATGACACCATTAGAAATTCATTCTCATCCAAAAGAGAAAATGCTGCTAAGTTCATCTGTGAAGAAAGAAATCGATTTTAAATTTTCTAAGTTATGAGCAATTGAAACTTAGAAAATGCAAATGAAGTGACGTCTACTAAGGAATGATATACAGTAATATACAAAATCATGAAAGAGAACGTCATTCTTTTTGTTACATTGGAAAAAGCATTTTCAGCTCTTATTTATAACTATGATTGATGATTTGATATTATATTTGTATATGTATAGCAATATTCAATGTTTATCAACAAACTCATTCTCATGTTAATGTGCCAACAACAATCAGAATGGCTTTTCACAAGTCGCTTGTTTTGTAACAGCCAATCATCTTCTGGTTGGCACATGAATAACAAAGGCTTACGTCACATTGAGTATAGGCGGATCTTTGTTTACAAAATTTTGCTAATTAGCATAAAGTTTAAATTAAAGAAAACTGTAAAATAAGTTAATAATGTAAAAGGGCTTATTAAGAACTATAAACTACGAAAGTTTGAGGTCGTTACATGGAATAGTTTATAAGATATTAGCGTTCAAAGATGCTGAGTGGCAAAAGCGCTAAGTAGCTCATATAATCTCTCTAAAAATTGGAGTTTTTAAAACTGTTTTATGCAAAAAGTATTTCATATGAGAAGCTCAAAATTGCGTGGAAAGCTTATTGTGCTATAGCCTGCGCGGCGGCTCTAGGGGAAGGGGGAGG